TGTTAGAGTAAAATCCTAAAGATCTAAGTTGAAACATTATTAAATTTGAATGACAATGAAATATTTACCTTGAGTTTGCTGAAGTTCTCTTTGGGCTGTATACCAGTTTTTCCTGACAAGCTCTTCTCCACAACAGGCTGTTTGACCCTGCTGATCCCTCTACTTGGAAAGATTCTTTTTTTTTTTCATGTGGTGCTGGGGATTGAACCCAGGGTCTTGTGCATGCAAGGGAGGCTCTCTACCAACCGAGCTATATCCCAGCCCCCAAACCCCATGATTCTTTTATTATTCTTATTTTTTTTAGTTGTAAATGGACATAATACATTTTATTTATTTTTATATGGTGCTGAGGATCAAACCCAGGGTCTTGCATGTGCTAGGTGAGCATTTTACCACTGAGCCATGACCCCAGCCTTCTTTTAAAAAAAAATTTTTTTAAATTGTAAATGGACACAATACCATTATTTTATTTATTTATTTTATGTGGTACTGAGGATTGAACACAGTACATCACATGTGCTAGTCCAGCACTCTACAACTGAGCTACAGTCCAAGCCCATCTCCCCAAGGTTTTTTGTTTTTTTTTTTTTTTCTTTTTGGTACCAGAAATTGAACCCAGGGACACTTAACCACTGAGCCACATCACTAGTCCTATTTTGCATTTTATCTAAAGACAAGGTCTTAGTGCCTCACTTTTGCTGAAGCTGGCTTTGAACTCAGGATCCTCTTGCCTCAGCCTCCCAAACTGCTGGGATTACAGGCATGAGCCGCTGAACTCCCATGATTCTTTACAAAACAACTCCTTTTCATCTTTCAGCTCAAATGCTACTTTCTTAGAGAGGTCTGCCCCCAAACACCTGTTTCATCTCCCTTGTCTATTTCCCTGCTTGTTGCCTCATAGCACTGTTCACAAGCTGTGGTGTCCTTTTTCTTTACTTCTTTATTATGACCCTCATTGTAAGGTCAGTTCCTCGGGGGCAGGAGATCTTGTTCATTGATGTTATTCTCTACCCTCAGTATCCAACATAGTGCCTGGCACACAGTAACTACCTGTTGAACAGATAAACTTATCTGACAAGATTCAGTATTGTAGGGCTGTGGCTATAGACACTTAACTTGAGGTGAAAACCTATCCCAAAGATTACCCAGGACTTGCCCTGTGACATTCACAGTTGCCCATATTTCTCTCAGAGGTCAGGAGAAGACATAGAGGCAACACTAGACTGCTGACTCCCTTCTGCCCAACCCTAGCAGAGCTGCCCCTGTGATGTCACACATGACAGGATTCTCTAATCCTTTTCATTCTGTAACAGTCTTGTAAACAGCTAAGTTTTTCATAACATGATATATTAAGGGGGGAGGGAGGGAGGAGAATGGGATGGAGGATATACCTACCCTGAACAAAATTAGTTTAGGAAGAGTATATGCTCATAAATTCATCTTCAGGAGAAAATGGGTAGCAGAAGTTCATTTGGGACTAAACTAACAAAAACAGGGATGAAAAAAATAAGAAAAAGAAAGGCAAAGGAGATAAAAAGAAGAAAGAAGAAAGGGGGAAAAGATAAAAGAAGCAAAAAAAAGAGAAGAAAAAGACACATGAAGTGGCTATGGGAGAAGAAAAAACCTACATCAGGTAGTGAAGGAGGAGGTGGAAGGAAGAGTTGGACCAACTCTTACTTGGCTTTATAACTTTTGCATAGTGACTGGCTGCTGGGTGGAAGGATGGATGGCTCAGGGCAGGGGATTCTCAGGTTTCCCCTAGGGAAGTCACTTAAATTCCTGAGATGTATTTTGAGAGGTCCAAACAAGGCCAGGCCAAGGGTAAGTCTCCTGGATGAATTCATAATGGTAATCAGGCAACAAGAAATGTAAGCCTTTTCTTTAAATCAGGATTGTAGAGGAAAGGGAAAGTACTATGAAGCAGACTAAGCTTTAGATTCCTCTTTGTAGTCTCTGTCCTCACCTCAAGTCTCTCAATTACTAGGCTATTAATATACAGTAAATTCAGGACTTTTTTAAAAATATTTTTTTTTAGCTGTAGATGGACACAATACCTTTATTTTATTTTATTTTTATGTGGTCGCAGGGGATTGAACCCAGTGCCTCACACATGCTAGGCAAGCTCTCTACCACTGAGCCACAACCCTATCCCAAATTCAGGACTTTAAAGCTAATCTTTCACATAACCTCCTTCCTCTTAGCTAAACTGAAATATACAAACAGATTTTCAAAGCAGAATAGGATAATTTTATAGGATACCTATATAAATCACTAAAATATAGTCATTGCCAAAATAGTCCCAACAGATTTTTCACAAAAACTTACTATGAACATTTGTTGGAGGCTTTAACAAAGTCTTATAGTTGAAAGAAGAAGAAAGAAGAAGAAGAAGAAGAAGAAGAAGAATTTTAACCTTCATTTTTTTTCAATGCTCTTTTTTGCTTCTTCTACATATTTTGTCCTTTTCCATTTAGCTTAGGATTTAATAATATTAAAGGGAATATCATAATATCAAGCATACTTAATCAGATAATATTTTTGTTCCAGATTTTAAAATGTTAATCTTATATCCACAAGTTTCCTAATATTGCAAAACTATATCCACAAGTAAGATATATCCACAAGGAAGGTACAGCTTGATTGTGCTACACAGTACAGTCTCTTTAAAAACCTCTTCATGTTCTTTTTTTTTTTTTCTATTTTTTAAAATCTCTTCTGCTACAATTGACCCATTCTCCTACAAGTGTAGAAAAGAGAAATGAAGGGTATGAAAGCCTAAAGGAAAAAAGCTGAAAGACAGGCAAGAACTTCAGGTTCTCTAAAGTCTACTACTGCCATTGGTGAGCCAGATTCAGTCTTCTAAATAAGAAAATTTGATTTGAAGAACTCTCCAAGTGGTGGTTGCCACATGGGCTTTTCTATTTCAGAATGTTAATGAGTCCACTAGCGTGCTAATCATGCTATTACTTGTCTGAAGTGTTAAGGATTTCAATAAGGCAGAATTTCAAAGATCTTTGATCTAATTTCTTTTCATTTTTGGCAGGTGTATAGAGAATTAAGAAATGTGTCCTCAAATGATACTGGGACCAAATGCATACTGAATTTTATTTTTCCTCAGTATACCTGGAAAAGATCCATCTTCATCTTCCTTTAAGAAATTCTAATCCCCACCACACACCAGTGGCTGATGATGATATTTGATTCTGGTTTAGGTCTCTGGTCTAAAAGTGAGGCGAACAGAACTTTTTCCAAAAAATCATGTTGGAAAAATTAGAAGAGTCTTCTACAACTTTAAATGCAGCTAAATAATGTCTGCAGAATGAGAGAAAAATTCGGGTAGTTTTAGATCTAAGAATTAGGGTAACTGATTTTAACAGATACACAAAGTAACAGGGTGCAAATTGCTATAGTAAGCTCCTCACCCTTTTACTGGCCAGAATTCAATTTGGCTAATGTTTTTGTATGTTCTTTTTAAAGTTGCCTCCTACAATTAATATTTAGGTTTTCTTTGTAAGTGCCAGAAAATCTTTTAAAAGTACGGAGTTTTCTTTTAAACTTCTGTTCCTGCAAATGTGGTGTAAGGGTTAAGCCTCTGACGAGAGAAAGAAAGGCACCCGAGCCAATAAGAACCTGTGCTGGTGATGTACTGCTTTCTAGTTCTGATTCATTGGCTGCCCAGGGTTTGTCATTCTATCCCTGGCGTCAGCAAGCAGCGTGGGTCGGGTTTTCTGTGGTCTAGCTAGCTAAACTGGATTTTGGTTGCCTGCACGTGCAGTTTCAATTAACTGTAGCTCATTTCTAGCTCTTCACAGAAGCAGCTGTAACTATTCTGATTATCCTCCAGCTTTTGAAAAACCCTTGGTTTCTTTAACCTTACTGGAGGTCGTTGGAGGTTCTCAGTGACAGAATCACGTGACTAACATGTGCAAATATACAATGTGGAATCCCAGCAACTACAGAGGGAAAACCTGCCAGAAATTCAGCATGTGCCCCGTGCGAGAATCAGTTGCACTCGCATGTGAGTGGATGATAGGGCACGTGTATTTTTGTTCTTCGGGACTCAAGGTGTGTGTCGTGGCACCTGCATCCTAGGTTCACTGGGGAAGGATGGCACCGGAGGTATGGGGCCTTGAGGGCTGGGAGCTGGCTGCTACCTGGACCGATTTCGCTTTCGAAGGGACCGCGACTGCTCCCGAGCGAAAACAGAAAGCTCCGGGCTGGTCCTCGAAGCTGCTAGGCAGCGTCTAACTGTGGGGTTTATATTTTCAGGCAGACGGAAGAGCCTAGGTCCGAGGCGTAGCTTCCAAGTCTCGGCTCCACCAACAGCCAGATTGAGAGGATCTCAATCCACGGGGCTCGGAACAGTAGCGCACACTCTGTCCAGACCCTGGCGCCGGAGAGTGAAAGTCCTGGTCCTGGCTCTGATCCCGGATTCTGACGCTCCCTTCGTCCCCAACCTGGGCGCCGGCAGCGCAGCAGAGGCGGCAAACGAAGCTGGGTAGGGCAGTGACGTCATCTGCGGTCGCCCCTCCCCCTCCTGCCGGCCCTCGCCGCAGTTCCTGCCCTACGACATCCGGGTCTCTCCAGCTGCTTTGCCGAGCCGCAGCTGTAGCAGCGGAGGAGCCGGCGGGGCGGAGCGGACGAGGGAGTGGGGGAGGGGCGGCGCCGTCGTGAGCGCGCCTGCGCGGGGCCGCGCTAGAGGCGGCGGCGGCGCTAGGGACGGGAGCGCGCGCAGGAGCTAGAGAGCAGTGGTCTCCGCGCCGGCCCGGTCCGCAGCTTCGGGTGCTCCGGCGGCTGCAGCTCCGGAACGGGTGGTTGGGGAGGGGGGTGGGGGGACGCCAGGCAGGTGGGGTGCGAAAGCGATGAATCCTCGGCTTTTCCTCCTCCTTCTCCGGGACCCGCTCTCTGCCTCCCGCTCCAACGCCCGGATGATCTGAACCGCGAGGGCGCCGAGAGCCGGGGGCCCGGACGCAGCCCGGCTCCTCCCCTCCTCCGCCCCCTCCCCGGCCCGCCGCCGCCGCCGCCGTGACCCCCTCCTCGCCCCTTCCCCGGCCGCAGTTGCTGCCGTCGCCGCTGCCTCGGCCGACCAGAGACCTGCCCGCCCGCGGCTGCTCCGGGTAAGCGCGGCGCTCGGGCCGCGGGCGGGCGGGCGGGCGGCGCGGGCCTGCGCGGCCGCGGCGGCGGACAGGCCTGGGGCCTGTAAACAAGCCGGGCGTCTGCCCGGGCGCTCCCGGGAGGAGACGCGACAACTCCACCCCCTGGCCCGGCCTCTTCCCCGGCGGCGGGCGGCGAGGGGTTAAGGCTCCGCGAGGGCGGCGGCGGGAGGCGGGGGCGGAGTGTTTGTGGCGGCAGCGCGGGGAGGGGGCGCGACCCTCCGGCCGTCGGCGACCGGGCGGGGTGCTTGTGGCGGCGACGCGGGCGAGAGCCGCGGGCTGGCCTGACCCGGGAGCTGCCGCGGGACTTTTCCCGAGCTGGGAGGGAGTGGCGGGCGCCCCACCGGCTCCCGGTGTTCGGGGCTCCAACCCTCGGGGGGGGGGGGGTGGCGCTAAGCTTCCTTTGAACCGGACTTGAGCCTCAAAACACCAGATTTGGACAATTTGCTTCTGGTTTTACAGGGGGCAGGGCTGAGAGTGAGGTTTCTTCCGAACTCAAGTCAGTGATGCCTTCCAGTTCATTCATTATTCAGGCATTGAGCAAGTGAAATTCTACTGATTTCTTATCCTTTTAGCCGTGTATATTGGATAAAAGTTCTTGATGTTAGAGTTGATTGAAGTTAGGGTTCTGTTCTGCTTGTACGTTTTAAAGAAACTTGTAGCTTTTTCTTGAAAGACAGCTGGTTGTAGAGTCCTCTACCAACCACAGTTTTAGATAGGTTTTGAAAATTTCATCACCCAAGACATTTTTCTCCTCTCCTTTAGAGATTCACAAAGGTCACATATTTGAGTTGTCCAAGCAAAGGAATCTGTGTGCCACCCTCACCCCAAATTTCCTGCTAATTGGAATAATGGGACGAATGAGTTTTAAAACGTTATTATAAAAATATGAAAGACAGTTATTGTTTCACAGAATAAATGATTTTCACATTATTAGAAAAGTTAAGAAATTTTAAAATAATTGTTCTGAAAGAAAAGCCATACCCTTTAAACTTCCAGTGCTCCCAAGAATCAAGCAGGGCTGGTCCTCCCAATTCCCTTTATCTCTACACTTCAGCTTCATTCTTTTTTCTTTCTACATATTGGTCTTTTTCCAAAGACTCTATTTCTGTAATTCCTTATTTTACAGAATACAAAACTGAAACGAGGGAGTTAATAACCCACTCCACTCCCTTTTTTCTAATCTCAGATGTTACCTTTACTGACTTAATGTTTCCTTTGCCAGTAAATAATTTGAAGCACAAAGTAACATTTCTTTCCCGATGTTATAGTTATGTTCTTACAGTTTTCTCCCCGCCCCCTTCTATCTGGTTAAACAGTCCTGTAGGGATGATTACTTTAAACCTTGAAGTTTACAACAAAGCCATATTATTGAAACTATAATGAAATGCAGGTGGAAATTGCTTAAAACTTTTTTATTTGATATTTTTTAAGCATTTGTACATTAATGAAGTAATTATGGAAGTGATATATATGTAGACACACACACACACACACACATCTGTATATGTTTGAGAAATATGGTTGACTACTAACCGGAGTCATCAAATTTTTACATGGCTTGAATCTTTTATATATTTTTACATGGATTGTATCATTTTATATTTTAGTATGAAGGGCTGAACTGAAGATGGTAATTATAGTATAACCTGTTGATGGGCTCACTGCACTAGGAGACAAAAATTGTTTAGTCATGGCTGTGCTCCAAAATACATGTCCATGGATAGGTCCTTTAACTTTTTGAATCTCAATTTCCAAGTCAGTAAAGTAAAAGGGGTAGATTATATTGTCACATGTACTATCCAATTTTTTTTTACATTGTGTGTCTCTTAATATACCTTTAAAAAGAAATATCTGGCATATGCCAGACACTTAGATGTTTCAGCATTATAAAGCTGATTTAAGGTTCTGTTTTATTTAAAAGAAAAAATTGGGAGAGGGGGCGGCTGGGGTTGTGGCTCAGTGGTAGAGCACTTGCCTAGCAAGTGTGAGGCACTGGGTTCTATCCTCAGCACTACATAAAAATAAATAAAATAAAGATATTGTGTCCATCTACAACTAAAAAATAAATTAATTAAAAAATGAAAAAGTTGGTGATTGTTCTTTAGGAAAACTATTCCTGTAGGTAGCCTTCATTGATTTTTCTGTTGGGATTGAGAAATCTGGATAAACTTACAGTAGGAAGGAAGGTGGAGATTCCAGTAGAGACAAAGTATGATTGAGACAACTGGTTTGAACAAGCTCAGGACCCTTGGTAGATAGAAGGGAAGGGTATTATAAGAACACTTTGTGCTGGGCGCAATGGAGCAGACCTGTAGTTGGAGGCTAAGACCAGAAGATAGCCAGCCTCAGCACCGGTGAGGTGCTAAGCAACTCAGTGAGACCCTGTCTCTAAATAAAATACAAAATAGGACTGGGGATGTAGCTTAGTGGTGGAGTGCCACTGAGTTTAGTCCCCCAAAAAAACAAGAGCACATTGTGAAGGTTTTTCTGTCAGTTCAAGCTGGGTCTTGATTTTGTTTTGTTAAATTCTGTTTGAAAAATTGTTCTCTAATATCTCATTTTAACCCCCCCAAAGAAATCTATAGATAGCATCTCATTTCTATCATACTGTAAATATTTCTGAGCAGATATTAAATACCTATATTCTTTGAATTTGTTCAGACTATGCCAAGGCTGTTATTCTGGTTTAACTATGAATATTTAAACTAAAGACCAACAGGCCTACAGGGAGCTTGTTACCTGAAATGCTCACCTATGAGAGACAGATTAATTGTTTAAGGTGTTAGTGTGTGCTGATGTAAAAATAATTAATTTTAAGGTGATATTTTGATGTTCTCTTCAAATGATTATCTACTTCCTGGGCAGAGGACTCTCATCTTCTTCTTTTTTTGGTACAGGGATTGAGCACTGGGCCACTGAGCCACATCCCCAGGCCATTATGTATTTTATTTAGAGACTGAGTCTCCCTGAGTTGCTTAATGCTTCACCATTGCTGAGCCTGACTTTGAACCCTCCATCCTCCTGTCTCAGCCTCCCAAAATGCTGGGATTACAGGCATTCGCACCGCACCCAGTGACTCTTGTCATTTTTAATCACATCAGGAGATAGTCTTTTAAGAAAAGCAGCCCAAGTAGACTTTTGGAGGAGTTACACAAAAAGATAAAATAAGGTGTGGCCCTGTGAAATATGTGGATCTTTGGAGAGGGGAGGGCATGTGAGGCAACTAGATAAAAGCTGTTTTCTTATTTCTGGAGTAGTAATTTCATGTCACAATAACAAAGATATTTTAAAATGTAGTTACTTCTTTTATTTTTTAATTTTTTAAAAATTATTTTTTAAAAATTTTTCTTAGTTATACATGGACACAATACCTTAGTTTATTTATTTTTATGTGGTGCTGAGGATCAAACCCGGTGCCTCACAGGTGCAAGGCAAGCGCTCTGCTACTGAGCCACAATCCCAGCCCCAGTTACTTCCTTTATTATTTTGCTGTTGTTAGCCAGGATATGTAAATTTTTCTGACCTGTGATTAGTAGCCACCTTTACATGAAAGTACTTTTGGTTAACCTTTATCTAAATCATAAGGTTGATTCTTATTTTTTCTTCCTTTAGTATCAAATGCACTTCATATTATATAAGGATTTGTACTTCATTATTAGTCTCCAGAATATATTCTTTGATGATTTTACTCTTTACCATCCTAGCTATCTATGTACCACCTAGATATTCTCTTTACCTAGCTTTTCTTCTACTAAGGCATGTAGGAAGAGTAACAATTGAGGGGAGTGAGTTCTGTATACCTCTATCTAAAATGTAATAAACTTCATAATTTTTGTAGGAAACTGAAAAGTACAGATTAATTTGTATTGATAAATAGACTGTTGATACTGTATTTATTTTATTTTTTTGGTACCAGGGATTGAACCCATGGGTGCTTAACCACAGCCACATCCCCACCCTTTTTTGCTTTTTTATTTTGAGACAGGACCTTGCTAAGTTGCTTAGAGCTTCACTAAATTGCTGAGGCTAGTTTTTGAATTTGCAATCCTCCTATCTAGGCCTCCTGAACTGCTGGGATTACAAGTGTGCACCACCATGCCTGGTGATACTGTGTTTATAATAATAGAGGTATTATAAGTATTCCTTGAGTGTATAATAAAAGAGGGAAATTGAGTTTTTATAATTCTAAATGTGTTGATTTCTAATCCATTGACCAAAGTGTATATAGTATTCATATTTAGGGTATGAATTGAAAGTTATTATTTTTATGGATAATTCAGTATGAATTAAAATCTTATGAAACTGAACTTCTATAAGGTATAGAAGAAAATAAATGAAAGTACTTTATTGACTATTTGTGTTAGGCTTTAATTTTTCACCGTTAATTTCTATTTTAAATCCAGTCAGCCCTTCATCTTTTGGGGGTTTGCATCCATGGATTCAACCAGCCCTTCATCTCTTTGGGTTTTGCATCCATGGAGAGTTCATTGAATATTTTTTAAAAGCCAGGCGTGTTGGTGCACGCTTGTAATCTCTGTAGCTAGAGAGAGAGGGTAAGGCAGGAGGATCAGTTCAAAGTTGAGTTCAAAGCCAGCCTCAGCAACTTAGTGAGGCCCTAAGCAACTCAAGTAATCTCCTGTCTTTTAATGAAATACAGAAAAGGACTGGGGATGTGGTTCAGTGGTTGAGTGCCCCTGAGTTAAATTCCTGGTACTGAAAAACAAAAACAAAACAATCCCCCCCAAAAAAACGATGACGACAACCTTGCATCTCTGCTCAGCGTGAACAATATGAGGATCTGCAAATTTTGGTATTTGTGGGGAGTCTTGGAACCAATTCCACCATGGATACCAAGAAAGGACTGAATAGACAGAAAGAACCTAAATAACATGCCAGCATTAGATCTGTGTAATTAAAAAAAAAAAATTCCTGAGTGGATTTTTTTTCCAATTATATGAGCC